ACAGTTCTTCTTATGTTTTATAGTAGGTACAACAAATGTTTCGTGCGTCACTCAACGTTGATTCGAATTTTGGGTTTTGATCTATTTTTTCAAATAGCATGCTGCTCATTCAATCAAAAATTTGAAAATGGACCGTCTTTTCTTGTTTTTCTAAGCAAAGATGGGTAAGGGTGAAATTAGCTGTTCAGGTTTTCGTCCTCCATTTCGCAACATCAGAGTACTTTCTCTGAGAGTTTTGTTGTTGGTTTTGCTTTTGCGTATTAGGCGACGGATTGTTATCGAATTTGTAGAAACTCTGCTTCTATTTTTTTGCCGACTTGTAGCGAGATTTGCCAGCATGCCGGCAGCTGACGTGCATTATAGATTAGTACCACCTCAGATGTGCGAAATATACGCCTCATACAAATGTAATGAAATCGTCTTTCCTCCCAAAACGCGCGAATAAATTTTAATCATTCAACATGAGCGTCGGGAGAACCGACGCTGATAAGTCGCAAGGTGGAGGTGAGTGGATGTTGTTGTCATACAGGTATAAGTAAATGTTCAGGATCTATATACGGACTTGATTAGTCGCAGCTTCGGGAGATCTACGAACTTTGATAGTCAAATAAGGTCCGTCCTTTTCCTTGTTGTGAGATTGCCGACCTAAGGTATATCTTTTAGGTTGCTATTCGTCAAATGGGCTATTCGTACGTGCGAAGCAGAGCTGAAGGTTGAGAAGAAGAGTGGTCGTCGTGCTCACGATGATTTGGGATGTCGTATTTTGTTTACTCAACAGTTTCAAACATGCGTTGTGAACAGGAGGATCTACTAGGATCTGGAAGGGGAGAGCGGTGCTAATTGCGGGTTAAATGGCGATCATCTGGCAAGTGAAGGCTTTAAGCGGGGAAGTGGAAGAAATTACATGGCTACGTAAATGACAGCGTAGCCTATCATTTACAATTACTACAGTGCATAGTGCTGTGGTACTCAAACAAAAATAATCCTCTTTCATATTTTGATGAATTCTAAAAGGCAGTTAATAATTAAAAGCATATTCGAAGTGCCCACTCGCATAGCAATCGAACCTTTGTAATTGCAGCCTTATTAGAATGCAAGGTGAAAGTTACACTATATAATCTACAGGTTATACCATGATGCGACAGAAGCGGACGGAATATGTCAAAGTACTATTATTGTGAAAGGTATTTTGTTTTGCCTAACGTGTGCGCGTCAAAAACGCCTCCCCATGCATTAGCTTCCTGGATAAAAAGCATAGTATTTTTCAAGAACATCTCACCCAGGCCTCGGCACGAGGTTTCCGATTGGA